TATGCATCAGAAAACTGGACAATGATCAGCAATGATAGAAGGAGAGTTGATGTTTTTGAGCTTTGGTGCTAGAGTATTGAATATACCATGATGGCTAGGAGAACAAACAGGGTTGTCCTAGAGAGGGTGAAACCAGGCTGCTCCTTGGAGACAAGGATTCTGAAGCTTTGTCTGACACTCTATGGTCATGTTGCAAGGAGAAACCAGACCTTGGAGAGGGTCATCATGTTTGGGAGGGTAGAGGGGCAGTGCAAGAGAGGAAGGTCCTCGATGAGATGGATTGACTCAGTGACTGGGGTAATAGAGGTGGTTTGTCATATATGATAAGGTTGGCTCAGGATAGAGCAGGGTTCAGAGCTGTTGTACAGAGGGTCACTATGAGTCACAAGTGACTCGATGGCACATTAACAAAAACAATGGACCATTTAACCTTTTCACTGCTTTAATATTATAAACCTTGCTTAAATGAATATCTTTACAGCTAAGTACTCAATATAAACTATTGGTATTTTTAATAAGCAAGGTGCTGAGTCCAAGAGAATATATATATTTAAAATTTAATTGAATATTATCAAATTTCCTGGAAGTTTATATCTATTGTATTTTAAGATATGTATTTTAAAATAAAGTCTCATGTTTGGTTATTGCTAGACTTTAAAGGTGAAAAAGTGAAGTTTTCTCCAGAGAAAACTGCATTTAACAACTTGGGTATCATCTTAATCAATCTCCCTACACCTGTCTGTGTCTTCTTGTTTGTCTCTTACACACAAAATCCCATAGTATTTTTTCAGTCAAAATAGGATTGCTCATATGCATCTTTTAATATCCATGATACATTCTCGAAAATAGAATGTTACTCAGTCTTAACAATGTGCAAGCATCTGTTATTATATTCAGGCAGTCCCTTAATAGAACACAGTTAAAATCCCCATAAAACTTTCATTAAAACTTTATGGTAACCCTACCAAAAGAACAAGTGTATGTCTTGGAGAAAGTATTGCCAAAGTGTTCCCTAGAGGCAAATATAGCAAAGCTTCATCTCACATTCTTTGGGCATATTGTTAAGAGAAACTATTTCTTGGAAGGGGCCAACATTCTTAGAAAGGTAGAGGGTCAACGAAAGAGGGAAGACCTTCAACAAGACTGACACAGTGACAGAAGCAATGGGCTGAAGTGTGGCAGAGATGATCAGGGTAGGACCACATTCAGATCTATTGTTCACAGGGTTGCTATGAGT